GCCCTGCCACACTGGAGAGTAACTCCGACCCTTCTGGAAGCAGCTTGGCTGTCCCCGAGGTTCCCGGCTAGCAAGCCCTCTGCCACACGCCTAAGGGGAGGTGAAGGGAAGCAGTCTAAGCTTCAAGCCCCACAATTGTTTTCAGAATCCTAGGGAAACTAAGTGGTAATGAAATTACTCCTTCCACATAAAACTTGCTACCTCGTGTTGATAGCATTTTTTTTTTAAGTGAGAAATGCTTCATATTTGTTTCTTTTTTCCCCCTCAGGAATTTTTATACAATATTGAGAAAAATGAGAACCTTTAAAAATTATTTTGTTTTTAACTTGACAACTCCAAATGATAAGCAGAGTTGGAATTTACAAGTAAAACTGGACTCCGGAGTGTAAGAAACTTTTTTCAATCTTGTATGATCTTAACTTTGCAGTCACATGTGGAAATATATTAAACAAGGACCATCTCTCAAATGCTTTTGCAAGAGTAGAAGCAAATCTCTTTTTTCTTCTCCCTCTGGATTTTGTGTGGTTTCCATAAATTGTGAAACTTCATTTTTAAGTGAAGATTCTTGGGTGGGAAGAGAAATGAAGGGGTTATTCCTGAGCACTGATCAGAAATCTTTTATTTTGAGAGACAAAAAGCTCTAAGAGGCATAGTTTACAAAACAGAAAGTGTTAATTTGGAGTATTTAGGGGAGATGATGGGACAAAAACATAGTATATTAAGGAGTGAAGAGTTTTTTATCTTCATAAGTACCAGAGACAAGTTGAGTTAAAATGTACATTGATGGTCCACCATGTAGGGCATAGACCTCAGATGGAATTGAACTTCCCAGGGGCCATGTCCGTGCTTCCTTGGTTCTAGACTGCTTCCATATGCGAAGGAACACAAAATAGGAGCTGAGTAGTGCTTGACCTGGCCACTCCATCCTGAAGGAAGGTTGGGGGAGGAAATTGAGGAAACTTCGTTCAGGGACAGAGGGAGAGTTGAGTCTCCAGCTTGTGAGGTCCGTGGGTCATCGTGCACAATGAAATGGGCTTTGTCCATGAAAATATTCTCAGTGCAAATTCCCTTGTCCCGTTTATTCCTTTCTTGGCCAACACTGCATTGAAAGGAACATCAGGGGTTAGAAATGCTTGATTTCTCTTGTTCAGTGGCTTCCCAGGTGGCACAGTGGTAAAGAATCTGCCTGCCATGCAGGAGACACAGGAGATGTGAATTTGATCCCTGGGTTGGGAAGATCCCCTGGAGGAGGGCATGGCAACCCCTCTAGTATTCTTGCCTGGAGAATCCCAGGGACAGGGGAGCTTGGAGGGCTACATTCCATAGGGTTACAAAGAGTCAGCCATGTACAACTGAGGATGTACACTCTGACACAATAGCAGGGCTGCTATCATCATTAGGAATAAGTAAAAGTAGACGCCAACATGATAGCAAGGCTAGAAGGGAAACTGGCAACAACGCGTCAAATGCTAGCTAATAAAGCCAAACGAGGCTTCAAGATCTCTGGTCTAAGATGACCTGCTTCTCTGAGACCTGATCAGATCTGGAGGATAGCAAAGTCCACCTCCTCCTCCTTAGCTTCTTATACTGAAACCCCAAGGCAAGTGAATGCAACTAATTCCAAACTTTTGATTGTTAACTGTGATTTAGGCTCTTACTGACTCTAATGAGAACTGCATGTAATTATTTTTATAAAATATTCCACATGTTGCTTTCATCAGGATTATGGCACATTGGTTTTAAACAAAGCAATGGGCCATGTAATTCAATTCATGTCCTGTTTACAAACTCTCAGACATTAAGCCATAGGAGTGATAGATGATGAAGCCAAACTGGCTAGTCACAGTCCAAATGACTGACTCTTTGGAGACTTTTGTTTGGAATATTAACAATCATGTTTCAATCAGAAAAATGAATTCTGTGATCTGAATATTTGGAGAGCCTCCTAGGCTAGACTATATTCGTTTTTGGACTCAGAGTCACACTCATCATCCTCTGTACACACGTTGGGTGATATGGGTGAATGAGTGGGCTGGTTGTGAAAGCAACCTGCAGTTTCAGGGGTTATGTCTAAATGAAGGGGACATGTCTCATGCAGAGAGAACCAGCTGCTATACTTCTCCATAAAACTGTTCTAAAATATTCATATTTTGTAAAGAAAACTTAATAATCTGAGGCTTTTAAAGATCCCAGATTTTAAATATGGGAAACAATGATATATTTTTTTTATACATTGGACCACCCATGGGCCATCAGTTTGAGACTTCTGCTCTTAACTGTGTGTATTTACAGGGTAGATATCACATTTTCCTGTTTTTTATTAATTTTTTTTTTTTTTTTTTTTTTTTTTAGGAAGGGCATTGTTTTCAGTTTCTGGTGGCCAGAAACAGAATAGATCATTGAACGTGTGTGGAATGAATTAACAGAAGATGCAAATGGGTATGATAGTACAGGATGGAACAGGAATTTCCCGTGGTTAGTAGGAAGTCATAGAAGCAGATAAAGATGATTTCACATTTTTTCTAATGTCCCTTACCCTACATTCTGCCATTCCTTAAGATTTTAGTGATGCAAAGGCAGAGAAAGAGGATTGCAGACATTAATTAGGTTGGGCATCTAAAGCCATTCATAAATTAGATTATTAAATGAAAATGTATTTCATATGAATGAGGCGGGGTGGTGAGAGAAAAGTGGGGCAGCTGATAATTATTTCATTAAAAAATTGTATTCAAGTATAGTTGGTTTACAATGAACTGTTAGTTTCAGGTGTATAGCAAAGTGAGTCAGTCATGCATACACATATACCTACACTTTTTAAGATTAGTTTTGCATATAGTATTACCTTGCATTTTGAAATATGAATTGTATGTCAGACACTCAGGTAAAAATTGCAGAACTATTTTCTTATTTGATCATCGCAAACATTTCAGGCATTTCCACTTTAAAGAAGAAACTGTGCCAAAGAGAGATTAAGGCAACTTGTCCATAATCTTGCAGCTATTAACACTAAACTGCATCTTAGGTGCTTCCACACATGGTTTTAATTCTCCAAACGACCATGTGAGGTGTTTATCCTTATCTGCATTCTGCAGAGGAAGAATAAGACCACAGAGGTCTTACCTGATGCACAAAATCACACACCATAAGTGACTAGTTAAACTGAGATTAATCCTGGTCTATTGACTGAAAAAATAGTTTATATTAATTGCAATAGTCGTTCCGCTAGACACTTTGTATGTCTCATGAGGCTTATGCATCATGTAGGACAGGCAGTGCAACAGAAGACGTGCAAGGTAGCAGAGAAGAAGAAATCTGAGTCCATGTTAAATCTGTTTCTTTTGTTTCAATCATTGTCTTCTGTTGGGGCTTCCCTGATAAATCTGCCTGCAATGCAAGAGACCCCAGTTTGATTCCTGGGTCAGGAAGATCTGCTGGGGAAGGGATAGGCTACCCACTCTGGTATTCTTGGGTTTCCCTTGCAGCTCAGCTGGTAAAGAATCCAGCTTCAATGTGGGAGGCCTGGGTTCGATCTCTCAGTTGGGAACACCCCCTGGAGAAGGGAAAGGCTACCCACTTCAGTATTCTGGCCTGGAGAATTCCATAGACTGTACAGTCCATGATGTCACAAACTTTCAGACATGACTGACTGATTTTCACTTTGTAATCTATTGCTTTTGCTTTCAGTTAAGAATGTTGCCTATAGCCTGAAATATACAGGATAGTCCATTTTCAAGACACTGACCTTTAAGAGTATAGTGAAAATGAAAGTCCCTCAGTCATGTCCAGCTGTTTGCAACCCCATGGACTATATAGTTTGTGGAATTCTCCAGGCCAGTATACTGAAGCAGGTAGCTGTTCTTTCTCCAGGGAATTTTCCCAACCCAGGGATCAAACCCAGGTCTCCTGCGTTGCAGGTGGATTTTTTACCAGCTGAGCCAGGTGGATTCTTTACCTACTGAGCCACAAGAGAAGAGTATAACAGGTTTCCATTCACATAGAGATAAAAAGTTGCAAAACAGATAATAACATTGGCTTGTTGGAGGTTTACAGGAACATCATGGCCTGGCCTATGGGCTGCAAGAACGAAGGATTCCTACACCAAGAAGTTCGCAACAACCAACCATAACCCTCCCTCACTTTGCCTTTAAAAGTGCTTTGCTAAACCCTTGGAGAAGTTTGGGCTTCTTAGAAAATGGGCCACCCATTCTCCTTGCATGGCCCTGCAGTAAACCTTTCGTGCTCCAAACTCCAGTGCTTGATGCTTTAGTTTATTTGGCCTCACTGTGTGTGGGGGGCTCAGGAGCTTGCATTGGGTAATAGCAACTGTATCTACAGTCAAGCTTCTCCCTGCAAAAACTCACTGTCCCACCTTCCCACCCACTCAGCAAGTAGCTTAGGAGGAATCGGGCAATCTCTCTTTCTCCGACTAAGATCTCCCTTTCCCAGTGTCACCCAGCTAAGTTTAAGAATATTTAAACTGCATCATGTAAACCTCTGCTCAACAGCTGCCCGTAGCATCTCATCACACTTGGGATAAAATCCAAATGCATCCATGTGATTGATGGAGCACTGCATCATCTGTCCTTGCCCACCCCTCTTTTCCCTCTCTACCTGTCCCCTCTGCCCTTCCAATCACCTTGGCATTTTTACAGATCATTCAATTAACCAAACCTGTCTTAGTCTGATGGACTGCTCCTTCTGCTAAGAAATTTCTTCCTTCATATCTTGCTCCATCACTTTATTTAGACACTTGTTCAAATATTACTTCATCAAAGAGACCTTTAAAGATTACCTAAAATAAAGTACCTGAACTAACTAGAGTTTATTTCTCTTTTTCTCCCCCTTCCTCCTTTTTTTATGACTTAGAGGTAGCTATAATTTTACTGTATTCTTTAGAGACGCTGGGACCTGGGACTCTTTGCAGCACTGCTTGCACCCAGACAAATGTCTCCTTGAGCAACAAAATATGAAGAAACTATAAAAGACAAAACATAGCATGCATGAGTGTGCTGTGCAGTTGGGGGAATTACGCACAACAAGATACCAAAAAAGCGAAACCCCAACTGCTGCTTCTGAAGAGCTGGGAACAAGACCAGAGTACACTGCATGCACCAGCACTGAACACTGTCAAAGGGGCGGGCAGACCAGGTCAGCCGTCTTCCCGCCTGGTCTGTGGGCTCAGTCCTACCCTTCCCCCGTGTGAGGAACCACCTGGCCTCCCCCCAGGGGTGACCGAGCAAGCCACGGAGCATGCCACTATCCTCTGCAGTAGGGCTCCAATGAAGCCTTGCCTGAATCTCCTGTACAGTCTCTGATCGATTTCTATCGATTAAGGAGGGCAAGACCCTGTAATAAAATAGCATTACTATCTCTGCATTTGCTCGTTGCCTGTATCTCTCACTGGAATGTAAATTTCCTGAGGGCAGACTTCTTGCTCCATTCACAGCTATGTCTGAGTACGTACAAGTGTCTGAATATATCTTAATTGAGTAAATCTCTTTTTGTGAATGGTTGAATAACTTCAAGAATGCAGGTACTCTTTGTAACATTTGGCAAGGATCTTAATGTTTTCAGAGCCCAAACATGAGGAGAACACTCATGTTCTGAAATCCACTGAAAACAAATACGACGGATAAACACAGACACAAGAAAAGGAATGTTTGGTCAGATTCCAGCTAAGCAAGTGAAGAGAACAGAGTCATAGACCTTGGATCAGAGAAATAAAAATGATTAAGCTGTGACTGTTGACAGGAGAGATTTTAATTCTTTTAAACATGTGTGCAGAGGAAATAATTTGAAGTATAAAAAAAGAGATTTATTCTTCTTGGAAGAAAAATAAGCTTATTTTCCCTCCTTTCCTTCAGTAGGAAAAATTTAGACACGAAGAGGAGCTATCCCCCGGAGAAAGGGCAGAGGTGGGTGATCTTGAAGGCTGTTTACCAGGAAACACTAGCTTTTCTCCAGAGTTGATGTGAGGGAAGAAACAACTTTGCTTTCAAAATGGGAGTTTCAAGCAAAGTCAACGTCACTTTTACTGACTTTTAATGGGAGGAGGAGAATGGTGCTTGCTTGTTTAAGTAGGGTGATGGCCCCTGATAGCTAGCATTTCTGTCCTGCCTCCTTGGAGAACCTTCACGGAAATCAGATTTAGACAGCCCCCCCACCCCGCCCTGCCCCAACGCCTGCCTCCGTAAGGAAGGCTAATCTCATCTTTACAGTTACAGTCAGTGAAAATTCTTAGTAGGTAGATAGATATGGTTTTCTTCCAAGTGTTTTCTAGGATGATAACTTAGTATAAACAAAGTAACTGCATCCATAGTAATGTTTCCTAGGCCAGGAGGGAGCAGGTCACTGTGCTCCTTGCAACCTGCTAAGGCCAGTGTGGTGTTGTTGAAACAGCAAACGTAAGGGTCAAGGGATGTTCAGATATGTTCCTATTAGATCATGGCCTCCAGTCCCATCACTTCATGGCAAATAGAAGGGGAAAAAAGTGGAAACAGACATAGATTTTATTTTCGTGGGCTCCAAAATCACTGTGGATGGTGACTGCAGCCATGAAATTAAAACAAAACAAAACAAAAAAGAACACTTGCTCTTTAGAAGGAAAGCTGTGACAAACCTAGACTGTGTATTAAGAAGCAGAGACATTACTTTGTTGATAAAGGTCCGTCTAGTCAAAGTTATGGTTTTTCCAGTAGCCATGTATGGATGTGAGAGTTAGACCATAAAGAAGCTGAACACTGAAGAACTGATGCTTTTGAACTGCGGTGCTGGAGAAGACTCTTGAGAGTCCTTTGGGCAGCAAGGAGATCAAGCCAGTCAATCCTAAATGAAATCAACCCTGAATATTCATTGGAAGGGCTGATGCTAAAGCTGAAGGTCCAGTACTTTGGTTACCTGATGTGAAGAGCCGACCCATTGGAAAAGACCCTGCTGCTGGGAAAGATTGAAGGCAGGAGGAGAAGGAGGTAACAAAGGATGAGATGGTTGGATGGCATCACCGACTCAATGGACACGAGTCTGAGCAAATCTGGGAGATGGTGAAGGACAGGGAAGCCTGGTGTGCTGCAGTCCATGGGGCTGCAAGGAATCGGACGTGACTGAGCAATTGAACCACGACAATGGGGTGGCTGCTCTTCACGTGGGCTCGGGCAGCTTTTTGTTGTTGTTTGAAAATAATCCTTTTGTGAGGAGGGGAATCTAGAAAAACTAAAACTTAGTCGACACAATGTACTCTTCTGATAACTTATTTATATGTTCCAACTCCGGTCTCCTACTACCAACATCCTTCACTTCATTCAATTAATTGGAATAAAAATATCCACCATTTACTGAACACTTATTATGTGCCAAGCTCAGTGCTGTGAACATTAAGTGCATTGCATGATGAGAGATTTACCTTGTAGTTTTTTTATGTGCAGAGAGAGGAGGAAATAATTTGCCCAAAGTCATTTGACTCAATGTCACAAGACTACAGTCTGAGTCCAGAGAGGTGAACTTGGCGATTCACACTTGTCCACACTTTCTGGGAGCATCTGCTATTTTGGGGATATAATTTCTCTTTATTTACTTCGTGCTCCTAGCTCTCTAAATCTTAAGACATAATTAAGGATATGTTTTAAATATCAACTCACCATGAGACATTTTCGAATCACCCTCTATCATCTGTTGAAACTGTGGATGGTTTTTGAAAGCATTTCCAAAATCTAATTATAATATCTGTTTAGTGTTTTTCATATTTTAATTTGAGGGTGTCATAAGCCATGACATTATTAACTCTTTGTGACCAAGGGCAGTTGACATTGGTTTGTGTTTCTGCCTGCATTTGCAATGAGCACAGAAGTTTTCTTTCAAGAATTTTGCTTTCTTTGAATTATGGAAGTCTCTTCCAAGTCAGAAATGGTACAAACTAAGATGAACATATAATGATGCCAGTGTATTGACACTCATATACTTAATGCTTTTTAAGATTTGTTGACATCTACTCCTGTTAATGGACAGCTTCCCAGAGGGCACTAGTGGTAAAGAGCCAGCCTGCCAATGCAGAAGAAGCAAGAGATGTAGGTTTAATTCCTGGTTCAGGAAGGTCCCCTAGAGGAGGAAACGGCAACCCATTCCACCGTTCCTCCCTCTAGAATTCCATGGACAGAGGAGCCTGGTGGGATGCAGTCTGTGGTCAAAAAGCGTCAGACATGACAGAGCTAGCAGTAGGCACTTCTGTTAATACATCATTAAACAAATGCTGAGAGCTTGCTAAGTGCTCGTGGTCCTCAGAGCATTCTTCCTGCAGTTCCTGTTAGCACCAGTGTTTACATGGACCACGCTGCGCTGCCCACTTCTAACTTCTGTCCTCTCTGTTCTAGATTTTGGATTCAACTTTTATTTTCCCCAAATTCCAGACGCATCATTGCCCTCAACTTAATCTCACCTCAAGTCCTTTCCTACTCACCAGAGTAGACTAAGAGTTTGAAGTTTTACAGACTGCATTTCAATCTCAGCATTAGTAATTAACTAGCTGAATGAATAGTAAACACCTTTTTCTCTCTCTGACCTGTGTGTAAAATGAGAATTAGGATATCTGCTTTGCAGGATTGTTATTAAGCTAATTAGAAATAAATTGATATATTAGACAGTTCAGGAAAGTTTTTGTCATCTCATCCTTGATCCAAGAAACAGTGTCAACTTTTAGATTTTTTTGTGGCCTAAACCTCTTTTTCTTGTTGATTTTGCTGTTGTGCTGTGTTTTATATATGCATATTTTCCCACTGCATTGTCTGTGGTTATTGCAGAGGATCCCTAAAGCCTTTATGAAATTGGCAGTGTACAGTATAAACAAACAAATGAAGCCAAATAAACAAATATAACCTTTTGGCCACAAATTCCCAAGGCCTTGCATTTTGCAGTTATAAAATCTGTCCAACAATGATAATAATTTATAAATCCCAAAGAACCAACCAGTGAGAAATGGAAAATGTAACACAGGGTCTACCTGTGCAGAAGCAATACTAATTGCAGTCATTTATGTCAACAGCTCACCATTTATACCTAATTGCGACGCCTCAGAATTGCATTGTGTGTTTCATTAGGTATGTGTCAGGTTAGCGCTGCTGTGAGTGGTGTGGGTTAGGTCGCCACTCTGCGCACCTGTGTGGGCAGTTTTGATAGTTTGTTGCTTATGTATGATGGTCAATTGCTTTCAACCTGAAAAAAAAAAAAAGAAAAAGCCTGTGGCAAGACAGCAAACACAGGGAGATGAGAAATACACTATATGGCATCTACCACGCAGGAATTTATTGTTGGGGGAAGAGAGGAACCCAGATGGTTCATCTGATGACCCAGTGTTGACCTGCTCCTTCCCACTATAGCTTTGTGGCTTTTTTATTCCCATGTGGGAATATCAGTCTTTTTCTTTATTAGCTTAGGAAAGTCTAATGTGCTGAAAAGAGAAAGTTTTGGGGAATCAGTAGATGTGACTGAAAGCTCTGCCATTTCTCTTGTGTGTGATCTTGAGACAATCTCTTAACTGCTCATAATGTCAGCATCTTTAGATAGGAATTCTGATGTCTATTTCATATGCAACTTGTGAGGATAAAGAGTATCTGTGAGGAAGAGGAATATAGTCTAGTATTTGGGAAGCTCTAGATAAGGGGGAGGAGAAGGCAAAGGCAACCCACTCTAGCACTCTTGCCTGGAAAATCCTATGGATGGAGGAGCCTGGTAGGATACAGTCCATGGGGTCGCTAGGAGTCGGACACGACTGAGCGACTTCACTTTCACTTTTCACTTTCATGCACTGGAGAAGGAAATGGCAACCCACTCCAGTGTTCTTGCCTGGAGAATCCCAGGGACGGGGGAGTCTGGTGGGCTGCCGCCTATGGGGTCGCACAGAGTCGGACACGACTGAAGTGACTTAGCAGCAGCAGTAGCAGCAGATAAGGAGGAGAATCTCTTGTCCTTCCCCAAATGTGTTTGTCCTCCAGAAGAAGCAGCCATCAAATCTTTGTATACCCACAGAAAGAAACACCAAATGCCTGCCCTGGTGGAACGCTGTGATGAGCTATATTTGGCCATCAAATGGCTAAAAATCAGCAACTTATGTCCAGAATGGGACTATAATTATGAAGTATGCAGATATAAGTGAAATATCATCTCACAGCAGGGAAAAAAATATAGCTATCGCAGAGGCATCAGCATTTGTTGAAAATGTTAACATGCCTGGCATCAACATGTAAATACTAGGCACTGTCTGTTACCTCCTCGGGTCCTTCAGCCACTCTGTGGCATGAATAATCCTCTAAATAAGGTGCTCTGTGTTGCAATAGAAAAAGCCAAGCTGATTGGTTTCAGCCAACAGGGACGTTTGCCATCTCACGCTCGGAGACGTGGATTCAGCGGCCCGACAGTGTTACCAAGATCCTGGGTTTTTTCCCGTATTTTCCTTTGACCACCTTCAGCATGTTATTTTCATTTTCATAGTCGACAGAATGGACCTAGTTATGGCAATATACAAAGGAAGAAAATGAGCTATTTCTTGCCAAGAACCATAGCCTTTTAGGGAAAAGAAATTCTTCACTTTGCTAGAATTTCATCATATGCCAGAGGCTGTTCCTGGTAGAGGTGCCAGACCTCCATATTGTCTCAGAATTTGAGGCTAGAGGGTGGGATCTGTCTCCCCGTTCGCACACAGATGGGTGGCAGAGAGTGAATGCTTGAAAAAGAATTGGAGTTCAAGCTGGAAGGAAAAAAGGATAGAAAAGGATATTTGGAGAGATTACTAATTGCACCCCCCATAGATCCCATTTGAAAGTGAAAAAGTGAAAGTGAAAGTCAGTCAGTCATGTCTGACTCTTTGTGACCCCATAGACTATATAGCCCATGGAATTCTCCAGGCCAGAATACTGGAGTGGGTAGCCTTTCTCTTCTGCAGGGGATCTTCCCAATCGAGGGATTGAACTCAGGTCTCCTGCACTGCAGGTGGATTCTTTACCAGCTGAGCCACAAGGGAAGCCCAAGAATACTGGGGTGGGTAGCCTACCCCTTCTCCAGGGGATCTTCTCGACCCAGGAATCAAACTGGGATCTCCTGCATTGCAGGTGGATTCTTTACCAACTGAGAAATCAGGTAAGTTCCCATGTAGCAAAGGAATAATGAGATTCAGAGAAGTAACATAACTTATTCCAAATCATAAAAATGGTATTATCTATCTTTTGGTATTTATATCCTCCTTTCTTCTGAAAGAAATTGTATAATAGATTAGAATTATACCTGCAATTTAATAAGATTTAAAAAGAGGTAAGTGGGGAAACATCAATAAAGGAATCATAAAGATGGAATAACTTGGAAGGAAAAATAAGTCAGGAAAATGAGAAAACAGAGGAGCTGAAATGTGCCTCTTGCTCTCCCGACTCTGAGAACCTGCCACAGCTGCCTCTCCACAGAGAAGCGGAGAAGCCAAGCCCCAAAGGCACAGAGACAGGTGTTAATGAATTTTTATATGCAGCACTTCATTCATTCATTCGAAACACTTTCCCTGCATACACTCTAAGAGCCAGACCCTGGGAAGTTAAGACCCAAATTCTTCTCTTAGGAAGAAGGCAGCTTTGGGAGACAGACCACAGCCAGATTCCCAGAGCAATTTGTTAAATCCAGCAATGCACAGAGAACCACTGAAATGGAGCCAGCGTCTGCAAGGACTGTAAAAGCCTTCCCCTGTTTTACACTTGAAAACCCTGAGCCCTGAAGGTTTTGGAACTAAAGGGAAACAATTAAGGACAGACCCTTAAATACTAGTTAACACTTTTGCATGGTTATCATGTGCCAGGATCTACTCCAGAGCTTTACATATGTATCAGATCAGTCAGTCTTCACTACAACCCCACAAAGTGTGTCTTCTTAAAATCCCATTTTACAGAAGAGGTAGCTAAGGCACAGAGATGAAGACTTTCCTGGATCACATGACTAGGTACATGATGGATCTTGGGTTTAACCCAGACCTCCTAGGTCTATTAACCCTTAACAATTAGACAAAATGCTCACATTCACTGGATTCTCACTCTGGGACTGGCCAGACATTACTTCCTATCATACTATAGTTGTTTGACTGATAATCTTCTTTCATTTCACAGGGGCATCAGCCGAGGCTTGGGAATCACAGATCACTAGAATCATTATGATGATCAGTGGTGTCCCTGTGCGTATGGCGCTGTTCTGATTCAGGTTTTTCCTCTTGTTCTCAAGTCATCTTGACTGTCTCTCCCACTGCCTCATCCTTGGCCCTGGCAGTATATCAAACTCTCTCCTAACAGTTGTTTCAGACTTGACTGTGAGTATCAAAGCCTTGATCTTATTTCCAGATCAAGATTACTGATTGCAGCCATCAGCCAATTCTATTTGTGTTTTCTGAGATTATGCTACATTCACTGGCCTATTTGTCTGTGTTTTTGGAGATCATGTTACATTCACTGGCACAAAACTGCTTTTACCCCAAACTTTCTTTTGGAGGCACTCTGTAAAGCCAACTGGAGTTCTATTTTGTGTTGGAGCAGAGAGAGCCAGGCGTAATGCTGACTGTCTGCAGAACAGCAAAGTCTTGCTCCATCTTGTTCCATCAGCTTTGTCTAGAAGAGGCCCAGCTGCTCACCCTCTACGTTTGTAGCAGGTCTGGTCACTGAGCTCAGAGTTGCTTTCTCTGGAGTGCCACAGCAATTAAGTCTCCTTCTCTCAAAAGCAAACATATTGATTTTATTTTGTTTTTGAGTTCATGAATTTTGTGGCTCAGTACTTATCAAAAGGACAGGTGACAAACCTCAATCTAAACATTCATGTTATGCATACTAAAAATATATCTGCATTGCCCTAAAAGCAATGTAAGAACTGAGGTGTTCAAACAAATTAGCCAAAAGACAAAAATAAGCGTGGTTAGAAGAGGCAAATGCTGGGAGATGGGAAAGAAAAAGTGGAGGTCCTATTTTCCTTAATAAGACAATTCAAGTGAATACACTTTAAGTGAATGCATCACCGATAACTTTTACACACACACACACACACACACACACACACACACACACTTCATTTAACACATGGTCCTCTTTATATTTCCACATGCAATCATGGACCTTGGGTTCAATTGAAAATTCCACAGGAAAAAGCGAATTGGCAAACTCAAATATGATTAGAGCAGGTTGAATAGCAGTTGTTGAAAGAGCTAAGTGTGTTTGGAGTGTGAAAAATGAAGGTCAAGTTAGGGCATTATGACTGCCTTTGAATATCTAATGGGCAGTCATGTAGAAAATGGAATAGACTCATTTTGCTTTATTCTAGAAGTGCAGAGGGTGGATGACTGATGGAAGGTACAGAGGCAAATTTTGGCTCAATATAAGGACAAAACATTGGAACAATTAGTGCTGTCAGGAAAGGGAATGCTGTGTTTTTGAGAATAGCAAAGTCCCTCCCAAGAAGGGTTTCAAAAAGAGGTTATACAGCCATCTGTCAGGAATCTGGTGGAAAGAATTCATGCATTAGTTGAGCAAGAGCGGTAATTCTCTGTCCTGGCTATTAACCATTCTGACTTTGATTTAATTGGTCTGCATTAGGGCCTAGATGTGACGGTATTTAAAAGCTTCCCATCTGATTCGAATGTGCAACCAGAGAAGGAAGCACAGTGCTAGAGGGTCATTCATCCTATAGGTCATTCATTTGACTGATATTTATGGAGACAATACTGTCTGCTCTGAGCTAGGGAAAGTACAGCAGATGCTAGTGATACCCACCCATATGTCCTTAACTTTAACATTTCCACACATTAGAATTCTCCCTGCAGGGGACTTCCCTGTTAGTCCAGTGGCTAAGACTCCAACCTCCCAAGGCAAGGGTCTGAGTTTTGATCCCTGGTCAGGGAACTAGACCCCACATGCCACAGCTGAGATGCAGTGCAGCCAAACCAAATATTTAAATAAGTAGATATTTTTTTAAAAAGCATCTCCCCTATATCCCTCTTCCTTTTCTTTATCTGAAGACATTCTCTCCCCGCGGGAGGTCTCTTTGCCCATCACATAGAAGGATGGAAGTGCCGGAGACTTACTGCTCCTTGCAGGCATCCCTCAGCCCAGCACTGATGCACCTACTCAGCCCACTGGGTTGCGTTCTACACTGACCCCCATAAATTCTTCCAGTGGGATTGAGCTCCTACTTCACCTCTCCCGACCTCCTTTAGTGGATAACACGCTTTGTGATGCTCTCTCTTCCCTGACTGGCTTCCTGGCCTCTGAGGCTCCTCCCTTTATTTTCCAGACAAACTACTTGCAGGAGAATACTTGTCTCCAGGTCCACCCTGGGTGAATCTGAATTAAGCTGATAGACAATAACTAGGCTCTTTCCATCTTGGGGAAGACGACACTATAAAAGGAAAGTGAACAGATGAGCAAAACTTGCAACTAAGGAGGGCATACCCCCGATATTCAGTTGAGATGGAAGGTTAGAGAGTTTACCTTTCCTCCCTTAACCACTCGGTTCCCAGAGAGCCACATGAGGACCTGGATCTGGCGTGAGTCTCTGCTGGGGGTCACACTTTAAGCCAGCATTCTGTGTCCTCTCTAAATGATAGAAACTACCATTTAAAAACATCTATTAAATAGCATTTATTGTGCATGGGTCATTCCATAATTCATAGCTATTTATTTTTCTAGTTTTCTACTTTTTTTCCTAATTTTTGGCTTAGTGGCATCATCCTTTCTCCCTTTTTCAAAAAAAATCAATGAGCGAAATGAATTATTTAACTCCTGTCGTTATGTTATAAAGGGTTAAGTTTTTATAAACCTTGCTGTCAGTAATCCTAACCTCAACCACTACTCCTAGCCGGAGGGTAGTTTTAGCTTGACTAATCACTCCTAAAATATTCTAAGCAGAACCAACCCCAGGGATAGTCTAGATGACCTTGATTCCAGAATTCTGTACAGAGTATCACCAAGAGTTTCCATAGCAACCAAAGTTGATGAATGAGGATGGTTTTCATCTACCTGTCTCTGAGTTACAACTTTTCATAAGAAACTAGAGGAGAAATGTCATTACCAAACACAGGGGCGTATAGTATCATAGAATGCTATAACTAACTATTTTCTTCAAAATTGAAATTTACACTCTGGCTTGATATTGTCTTTAAAATCCCTCAGATCTGACCTTTTTTTGTCCAAAACCCTGACTTGATCATGATGTTGCCTTGCTTGGAATGCCCTTCATTTCCCTCTCTAGCTTCTGGGTACTCTCCAGCCACCATCGCCTGCCTGCCGCATGCTGCCTTCTGCCTCCACAAAACCTTCTCTGCAAGTCCTCACTAACCAATGTTAACTTTGAATACTATAAGTAACATACCACCTTTAATTTCACCTGCTATATAGTAATTGCATTATTGTGCATAAGTGGGATGGATGAGAACAGAGGTGACATCAAAAGGCGGATCTGTAAGCCCAGCTCTGTTACTTCCTCCTCTGGAAGGTCTTGGGCTGTTTGCTTCCCCTGCCGGAGGGTCGTTTTCTGCCTATAAAATCTGGAGAATAGTAGAACCTACTCTGCCACCTAGATTTATGTGAGGCATTCAATGGAATAGTGGATCCAATATGCTTAGCACAGTGCCTAGCAGGTAGTATGTATTCAGGAAAAAAAATCAAGTTTTATTTTTATGTTTCTTCACGAAGGGACCATTCACCTAAAGACCATGGATGGGCCAGGGGTCAGACACACCTTGTTTTTACAACTCTCTTGTGTGTAACACATAAAACACATGAAAGCCAGAGCTCACCCAGCAAGTCACCAGCCTTTCTCAGGCTCTGCATCCTTACCTGCAAAATGCTTTGGTCACAGTTCACTGTGGACTCTACGTCACAGATGTGGTCAAGTTTAAGTGAATGAACCACCACACAGGGAAAACACCTGCCATCATGCTCTGAGTGGATGCCAGATAAGTGTATTTTCTTTGTTCCACTTGGATCTGCCCTTTAAAAAGTTTCAATTTCCTTAATAAGTGTCTGATGCTTACCAGATAATGCATTATGATATGACTAGGGGCACATGTGTCTTTGGGACAAACACATGCAGTATATCAAGGATAAACTGATGGCTGCTATTCTTTTTCTTAAATAATTGAAGTATACTTGATATATAACGTTGTGTTAATTCCTGCCTCACAGAAAAGTGATTCAATTATATATACATGTGTATATATATATATATATTCTTTTTCATATTCTTTTCCATTATCGTTTATCACAGGGTATTGATTATAGTTCCCTGTGCCATAGAGTAGAACCTTGTTGTTTATCTATTCTATACATAATATTTTCATCTATTAATCCCAACTCCTTATCCATCACTCTCCCAAAACCCTCTCTCTTGGAAACCACAAGTCTTATTCTCTGTGCCTGTGAGCCTGTCTCATAGATAAGTTCATTTATGTCCTATTTTAGATTCCACAAAAACATAATCTCATGATATTTGCCTTTCTCTTTCCAACTTACTTCACTTAGTATGATAATCTCTAAGAATATTCATGTTGCTGCAAATGACATTATTACTCCTTTTTTAAGACTAAGTAGTATTCCATTGTATATTTGTACCACATCTTCTTTATCCATTCATCCGTAAATGGACATTTAGGTTTCTTCCATGTCTTGATGATCATACATAAGGCTGCTATGAACACAGGGGCGCATGCATCTTTTTAAGCTATCGTTTCGTCTATATATGCCGAGGAACGGCATTGCCGGATCATACGGCAACTCTATTTGTAGTTTTAGGAGGAATCTGCACACTGTTCTCCTTAGTGGCGGCACCAGCTTACACCCCGGTACCTAATCACGTTTGTTCTTGATTCCAGGGCCTGAGACCTTTGCCGACCTCAGCAAAGCGATGCTGCCCTTGCTGACTGGTCTCTAAGTCGTGTCTGAGTCTGCAGCCCCATGGGCTGTGGCCCGCCAGGCCCCTCTGTCCACGGGATTTCCCAGGCAAGAATACTGGAGCAGATTGCTACTTTTTTCTCCAGGGTATCTTCCAACCCAGGGATTGAACCCACGTCTCCTGCTTGGCAGACAGATTTTTTTTTTTTTTATCACTAAGCCACCTGGCAGAAGGATAAACAAGGATTTTTAAGGCTGAGGAGACAAGGGTTCATTATCATCTCCATGGGAAAACTTCACAGAGCTAGTTCCTTCCTTATCTTTCACATAAGCAGTCTTGAAATAGATATATACGTTTAAATGACTTCATCTTGGCAATCCACTTAAGTGCCCAAGGCCAGTGAGTTAAGGCATTTAATTGAAATTCATATGACAACGACCACAGAGGAGAACATTTTTAAAGTGTTGAAACATAGACTTAATTAGTAGCCCATTAGGAGGCCCAATTAAGGAAGAACATCTTTGAAGGCGATGTCTAAATTCTCACATCCAGCAAGTGGCAGAGTAGATTTTTAAATGTGGTTCATCACACGCCCAAGTCCTTCTAGCAAGGTTAGTATCACCACCAAGTCCTGAAAGAAAGTTCAGGAGGATGGTCAGAGAAGGAACAGTCATCCTGCAGGCAGAGCAGGATGAATCTGAAGGACACGGGAGAGAATGTGTTTCTGTCCACCCTTTTTGCAAATCTTCCAAGGCGTGGGATTGCTTTTATGAGACAGCCCAAATTCCTAATACCAGCCCCAAGTCTTCTTATCACAAACTCCAGGCCAATCCACCCCCTATAGTGAGCTGCTCTCCCCCTGTATTCAGTGATCTAGCTAACTTTAATCTTTTTCCATGGCAGGCTGTCTCTCCCATGGGATCTGGTCATGTGCTCTTTCCGCATCCTAGAGCCCTCTTTCCTCTGCCCAGTATGGGATCTTAAGTGCAGCCGCACATCCTGCGCTAAAGGGGGTCCCTACTCAGGACTCCTCGTGTGCCGCCTGCCCTCAGGACGCTTCCCACATTCCGAGTTTGTTACACGTGCGTTCCCAGCACAAAGCTTAATGCATGGGCAAGGAGTAGGTATTAAATAGGCACACCCTTTTTATTATTAATTTACTTTAAATTTAGCTATTTGGCTATGCTGAGTCTTAACTGCAGGATGTGGGATCTTCATTGCAGCATGCAGGCTCTTTTATTTGCAGAATTCTGGAACTAACTCCCCGACCAGAGGTTGAACCCAACCCCTCTGCACTGGGAGTGTGGAAGCTTAACCACCGAACCACCAGGGAAATCTGAGGCCGACTCTTCAGATCACCGTATGGATTTGGGTGTGTCAGTGACAATAACTGAGAGCCCTTCAGAGCAGGGGGCCCTAGCGACAAATACCCCAAGCCTCTCACCCAGTATCTCTAGATTACGTGTTCCTGCTTTCCTCATCAATAGCCATTTGCAAGTTACCGGCAGAGCCCCTGACTTGTAGTTAGAATTGTTATTGGGTAAGGAATTAACGGCTACATACAATGAATAAACAGAAGCTGAGATACTTGCATCTCAGGCACGTTTAAAACTGTGTCTCTGCATTTCAAGTCTCAGTTTGTTTAGCACATTGACAAATACAATATATAAAATACAATTTGTATATATTTAAGTATAACAGCAAACGTATACTTTCCAGTTTCCAGTTCTGTTCCTTTAAAATCAGAAATACATTTCACAGGGCCTTGTTAAAAAAAAAAAAAAAGTTTTGCTTGGGAATTAAATCCTTTGCTTTCCATGGTATCTTTTTGTTTTTGGCCTTGCCACGTGGCTTATGGGGTCTTTCTTAGTTCCCCCACAGGGACTGAACCGCAGCCTTCAGCAGTGAAGGTGCAGAGTCCTAACCACTAGACCACCAGGGAAGTCCCACTATAGTGGTTGTTTTAAGTAGACAGACTTAAGGATTTTTTTCTCCTGCTTCACCGTTCCCAAGATGTTTTGGAGTGATGCAGAGGATGTAAGAGAGGCAGAAACTTAGATTTTCAACTGCCAGGATAGAAGTAATTGAACAGCAACTAAAGTCAAAACTCATGACCGTTCTCACCAGCAGGACTGGTCCCGGAAGTTAAGAAGCTGGTCCTCTGCTGCTCACAAGTGCCAAGGGGACTATTCTGGCAGAAACAAAACACTCTCAGGTAGCCTGGCCAGCTGTGAGCTGCCCCGTGCCTCCTGGCCCCACAGAAACTGCAGGGTCTCACTTCACAGCCGGGCTGTCAGAGCGGAGGGAGAGCCCACAGCCTCAGTGGCGTTATTCCGCCCCTGCATCCCCCTCTTCATTTGATGCCTGCTCCCAGAACTCACCATGGCCCTTGAAAAGGGTGTGCTTTTTTGTTTTTGTTTTCCTTTTGTTCAAAGAAAACTTTTTTTTTAAGCTAAGGAGAAGTAGTGCAGAAAATCAGGCTATTTGGCCTGGTTACACATCCTAAAGAGCTCTGAATCCAGATAATGCAACTGTGAAGCCAGCTTGTTTGTGATATTAACCTCCATTTTCACTGTCGTGGGAATAAGCTTGATTCTTTGTAGGCTCCTTTGCTCTGTAACAGGCATGGCCTTGGATCATTCGGTAGCAAACTTCCTCTCCTTCGTGCATCAAGGCTTAATGTCTGAACATTCACATTTTCTCCTTACTCACTTATCAAAATGAAATATCATATGAAGAACTCCAAATAATGCCATGACTGGAAGAATGGTATAGTGGAGTGGTTGGAGTAGGACTTATGGCAAGACTGACTGGAGAAGGGCTGGATGATCTGGTTGGAAATAAAAATGAATTCAATGGAACCCTCACAGCCATGATGGGTCCCGAGGAAACAAGTACTGTATACAATTAACCTGCATGCAAGTCAAGAAGCAAACAATTAGAACTGGACTTGGAATGACAGACTGATTCCAAATCGGGAAAGGAGTACGTTAAGGCTATCTATTGTCACCCTGCTTATTTAACTTATATGCAGAGTACATCATGAGAAATGCTGGACTGGATGAAGCACAAGCTGGAATCGAGATTGCTGGGAGAAATACAAATAACCTCAGATATGCAGATGATACCATACTTTGGCAGAAAGCGAAGAACTGAAGAGCCTCTTGATGACAGTGAAAGAGGAGAGTGAAAAAGTTGGCTTAAAACTCAACATTTAGAAAACGAAGATCATGGCATCCGGTCCCATCACTTCATGGCAAATAGATGGGGAAACACTGGAAACAGTGTCAGACTTTATTTATTTATTTTTGGCTCCAAAATCACTGCACATGGTGACTGCAGCCATGAAATTAAAAGACGCTTACTCCTTGGAAGAAAAGTTATGACCAACCTAGACAGCATATTAAAAAACAGAGACATTGCTTTGCCAACAAAAGCCCATCTAGTCAAAGCTTTGTTTTTTTCCAGTAGTCATGTAGGGATGTGAGAGTTGGACTATAAAGAAAGCTGAGTGCTGAGAATTGATGCTTTTGAACTGCAGTGTTGGAGCAGACTCTTGAGAGTCCCTTGGACAGCAAAGAAATCCAACCAGTCCATCCTAAAGGAAATCAGTCCTGAATATTCATTGGAAGAACTGATGCTGAAGCTGAAAGTCTAATACTTTGGCTACCTGGTACGAAGAACTGACTCATTTGAAAAGACCCTGATTCTGGGAAAGATTAAAGGCAGGAGGAGAAGGGGATGACAGAGGATAAGATGGTTGGATGGGATCATCGACTCAAAGGACATGAGTTTGAGTAAACTTCAGGAGTTGGTGACGGACAGAGAGGCCTGAAATGCTGCAGTCTATGGAGTCGCAAAGAGTTGGACACAACGGAGCAACTGAACTGAACTGAACTGATACAATTAACCTGGAGCACAAAAAAGTAGAAAAGCATATTTGCCCTAAATTTTATCAGAATTCAGAGTTTTTAAGGGCAACTGTGCCAATATTCTTGACTCCCATATAAATATGGAATTGTAGATATAATAAAATACAATTACAATTCCATGTATACATAATTCCATATATGTGTGTGTATGTTGCTTGTGAAAGTTTTATATATATATATGTATACATAAATATTATATATATGATGTCTACTGTTTTATAGGCACAGTTTAAGGACCTGCGAATACAGCACAGAACAAAACAAGTCTTTGCCTCATGGCAGTGTGACATTTCCATGGTAAAGTATTTTTTTAATTAGCTTTTGGAATATGGAGGCCAAAACTAATCGAGAATATTTGAAAGCATTCATGTAGCTTAGAACACTTGAAAGCATGAAGCAGTTTACCTGGGAGAGTCTGGAGTGGGGCAAGGAGTGAGCAGTACATGTGGATGAGCATGCAGCCAGGCATCTTCATTTACTGAAATAGTTCCTCAACTGATACTTAATGAATCCCTTACATGTATCAGAATCATGTTCACAAGACAAAGGGTGGATGTTATTCATCTCTGAAGTGTATCCATATTAGTGCATTGCCTTTGGAATAGTTGCTGTTTAAGACGGCCATCAGAATACCCAGCTGTCCAGTGGTATTATTGCTGGAAAAATCCTATGGACTGAGGAGCCTTGGCAGGCTATTGTCTGTGGGCTCACAGAGTCAGATGTGACTGACTGAGCATGCACGCAAGATGGCTATCAGGAGATTATGCAAAATATTTATGCGTTTACGGGCTGGCATTTTCTTACAGTGGAGGAACATTCAGGAGTAAGCTACCCCAAATCTCACTGCAGAGCAGAAACCCCCTCTGGCAGGAAAGCCTGGGCCATTTGGATTCCTGGTGATAGCTCACCAGCACAGACCGTAAGTAACCCACACCAGCCACTAACATCTGAACTGGCCCGAGTCCGTCTCTGAGCTGCGTCATCACAGCAGGCACGTGGAGCAAGAGGGGACACCGTGCTGATGGCAATAACTGTGAAAGGCTGTCTCAGACTGCAGAGTACCACACAATCTCAGCCCCGTTTCTGTGTTTCTGAAATCCAAGAAGGCTTGAAACTGAACAACTATTCCCTGCAACATATTTAGTGGAGAACCAAACCTGGGCTGATGTGGGCTAATAGAGTCCAGGAGGAGAAGAGGGCGACAGAGGATGAGATGGTTGGATGGCATCACCGACTCGATGAACACACGTTTGAGGAAACTCCAGGAGCTGGTGAAGGACAGGGAAGCCTAGCACATTGCAGTCCATGGTGTCGCAAAGAGTTTGACACAACTTAGCGACTGAATGAAAACAACAAATATATTCTTGATAGATACCACTTTGTGTGAATATTCCTATGTTTCCCTGCAACAGTAGCAATGCCTTTGATAAAGAGTACTGCCTTGGGCCCCACTGAAGTATTAGTTAACAGTACATGCATGTAATTTCATCTCTAAATTTTGAAAAATTCTGAAAACAAACCTGGCCCCAAGATTTCAAATAAGGGACTGTTTTGACCAAGGCTTTCCCCTCTTCTGTGACTTTGTTGAAAGGCCACCCTGTCAATGATGAGCTCTCCTCTGCTCATCTTATTTAAAATTGCAACTCACCCTTTGCCTGAAAGCTCTGTATCCTATAGAGTTTTTTTTTATTTTTTTAATGTCATCTTCTAATTAGAGTATCAGCTGGCACAGAGAAAGCATTATAAACTGTTTGTTAAATGAAGAAATGCCATGTCACTTCTTTGGCATGTTTATTGCTTATTATCTAACTTGTGTCTCTTCAACCTCCCACCCACACAAATGTGAGTTCCACAATGTAGAGACTGGTGTATTTTAGCCCCTTAGAATAGGGGCTATAAGAGGAGCTCAACACAGCACACTAAATGAAAAGATACATTAAGTTTATAATTTTTACTAATAAATCTTAATTTTTTATTACTCAAATGCATTTCTTTTTAAATATTATGACTAAAACAAAGAAAACATAATCATCCATAAGTGTATGATTCAAGATGCCTACTAATAACAATTTGATATAGTTTTCATTCTTATTTATTCTTAATGTATCTATTTAGATTTAAGTCACAAACATCTCACATCTCGTGAAATATTCTTTGCAAGTGAGAATTTTGACAGCTTCCCAAGATGCCAGTCTATGGATACAACATAAATTCTCTGAGTGTTCTTCTAATGTCAAGGTTTGTTTTCAAATATTGACTTTCATAATTCTGAGATGAACATCAAAATCTGTGCCCTTGGCTCTTTATCTAGAGTAAATTTTTAGAAGAGAAATTCCTAGGTGAAATGGCTAGAGTGTTCTGGTCCTTAGCACTGAAAGAAGTTGAATTTGATTTGAAAAATTTCTAATATACTTGTGTCCTACATTTTGTTTAGGAAACATCGGGAGAGGATATGTGTGTGTGCACTCACACGTGTGTGTGGGTTGCATTTTTAAATAAAACAGTGGTGTGAATGATTTGGGCACATTAGGCATCTGGACATTAGCAGCTAGGATCTGAACTGAAGTGGCAGCTTCTGGAAAGTACATTTGCCCTGATGTCAAGAGAGCTGGCACCAGCTTCCTGACTTCAAATACCTGGCTCCTCCTCTCTGCACCTTGATGTCCTTTTCTCATTGTTAATGAAATAGTGGCCTCTGTCTCACCTGCTTTAACTGGGCCATTCTGAGGATAAAATTAAATACTGCTCATGAATTTTTTTTTAATTGCGTAATTCAACATACCAGCAGTGACAGTTTTTGTCAGCTGCCTGCTATTTACAGTTGTTATCAATATGGATCATATTTCAATTCTTCCCATGAAATTGAAAGCTCAAAATCCCATTACAGATACTTGAAAACATCAATTCCTTCCTACGATTAATGACAGTGATTGGACACGGAATTCTCAAAATATCCCTATTTAGCAATACCAAGTCCTAATAAGAAGCCAAAGGAAGTAGATATAAACCAGAGTCTCCTTTGCCACCCTCTGGGGCACCCTGTATGTGAGCACATTGAAGTTTTCCTAGATGAAAAATACAGGATCTCCAGGTGTCAGCACTAAGACCCCACTCACCTTCCAGAGAGGAGGTGAAAGTTGTCTGAGGGAGGCTACACCAGCATAGGTGAGTTCTCAAAGCAAATTGTCCTACTGCTTTGTCCAGGGCTGGGTCTGCCCTAGGAGATGATACCAACTGCTCACATCTTTCAAATGGGAATAACTATTTGTTCAGTGGCCTGGGGGTGATCAGATGGCATTTTGGAGATTTTTTTCAGCTCTTAAGACCTGTGTGTGTGTCTGTGTACACATACTCATGGGTGAGTGTTGTAGTTCTGGAAACAGGGAGATTTCTACCAAATACCTTATTCAGCACCGTTTACCCTATTATAAAGATACTAGGATTTCTTTCTTTAGAAAGTATTTTTATTTATTTATTTGGCTGCACCAGGTCTTAGCTATGGCATGTAGGATCTTTGGTTATGCCATATGAACTCTTTAGTTGCAGCATGTGGAATCTAATTCACCAACCAGGGGTCAAACTCGGGCCCGCTGCATTGGGAGCTGACTCTTAGCCACTGGACCACCAGGGAAGTCCCAGAATTTCTTGATTAAAAATAAAAATGATGGCCTTTGCTTAGGAGTAGCTCATAGTCTTATAGGAGAAAAAGTAAAACAAGTGAATGGGCAATTACCATAGAGGTTTATTTCTATGAAGAAATAAAATCTGAACAGTTGTAGGATTGAAGTGTAAGAAAATCTATCCTTGTCTCAAATATAATAAACAGCATCCGTGGCGTCTTGGAAGGAAGAGGCAAGAAGTGTTCTAGGGAGGAAAGTTCCCTATGCAAAATCTGATGGCAGTGGATGGAGCATAACTCCTTGTAGAATCATGGGTTATTCTAGAAGGCTGATAAAGAGCTGAGTGTGTATAAGAAAGAATGATACAGCGAGAGAAGGAGAGAGAGAGACAGAGACTGGAGGGTTAGCAACTGGAGAGGCTCAGATCATGTGGGCTCCTCAACGCCTTCTTAAGAGATTAGATGGGAGTAATAGAGCCACTTATTCTTCTGTCAGTAACCAAACCAAATAGATTTTCTTTCAACCTCAGGAACTAATTCTTCAATTTGGTTTTAAGAGTAGGGCACAGCTTCCCCTGGAGCTCCAGGTTCTTGGAGACTGCTGGTTCAGTGGAAGGTTCAATGTGTGGCAGTTGAAGGATGAACCCAGACAGATGAATTTATTTACAAAACAGAAACAGACTTGCAGAGTTTGAAAACAAACTTGCAGTTATCAAAGGGAAAATGTGGTGGGGGAGGGATAAATTAGGAGTTTGGGATTAACATATATACACTACTATATACAAAACAACCAACAGGGACCTACCACATAACACAGAGAGTGATACTCAATATTCTGTAATAATCTATATGGGGAAAGAGCCTGAAAAAGAGAGGATACATGTATAACTGAATCACTTAGCCACACCTGAAATTAACACAATACTGTAACTTAACTATGTGTGTTAGTTACTCAGTCTTGTCAAACTCTTTACAACCCCATGGACCACAGCCTGCTGGGCTCCTCTGTCCATGAAATTCTCCAGGCAAGAATACTGGAGTGGGTAGCCATTCTGTATACCAATATAAAATAAAAAGTTTAAAAAAAGATAAAGTATCAAATCTTAGTCAAGTAACTAAGTGAAAATCAAAATGAAGTTTAAGGTCTAAATGAAACGGCACATATGCTTCTGCTGCTAAGTCACTTCAGTCCTGTCTGACTCTGTGTGACCCTATGGACCGTTGCCTGCCAGGCTCCTCTGTCCGTGGGATTCTCCAGGCAAGAATACTGGAGAGGATTGCCATGCCCTCTTCCAGGGAATCTTCCCAACCCAGGGATCGTACCTGCATCTCTTCTGTGCCCTTCTTTGGCAGGCAGCTTCTTTACCACTAGCGCCTCCTGGGAGGCCCCGAAAGGCTCGTAAACTTATTTCTGAAAGCCACGGCCCCTTCACATTGGTGTGTTAGGCTCCATACTAAAACTTCGCTCAATATGGCTCCATTGAGAATGCAAGGTGCTCCAGGACACGAGTGTTGAGTCATTCTGAGTATCTTGAATGAAAACCAGTCCTGATGTATGAATCACGACACAAATGGGTCTGGGAACCTGTGGGCCCTGCTCTATGCTGGCCCCCTGCTCTCACCTGCTGTTGTGAAGGAGGAACACCTGCAGATGCAAACGAAAGGGATCCGGGGACACTGGGCCTTTAGTCAGGATCTGGGTTTCTCCGACTCTGACCACAGACCCCTGTGAGACGCGGTCACGGAGGGGCAGGGGCCTCTGCTCCTCCGGCTTTCTGCCCTAGGCTTCCTCATCTGTCATGAACAATCTCTAATGTGTCTCTCTTATCTAACAGTCTTTAATTCTTTGTTTTGCATTGAGGAAATCTGTGCTCACTGCTCTGAACTTCTCCAGGAAACCCAGGAAAAATGAATTGTCCCAAAATACCAAACACAGTAGAGAAAGCCTTGGTTGGGCATGCCTTTGGCTTACCTCCTGGTTTATGACCCAGTGCCCTTCTCCACAGACTGTTTACTTCAGCAAAACAGCGTCAATCTCCAGGCTACAAGACCCTGGGTGACTGTGATCTTGTCATTTCTTTCACCCAGAATGGCCACCAATTTCTCCACATGTGCCAGTCTTGCCATCTGTTCACTGGCACGTACCAATTTATTCTGATCTCTACTGCTGCTGACACTCTTTCTATACCTGCAAACACATTTAGATATATGTGTATCTCCTCACCAGAATGTAAGCACCTTACAGTTAGATGTGGGTTTTAATTCCATCCTTAAAAAAAAAAAAAATCCAAAACAGAAAT